CAGCATCCAGAAGTCTAAAACCATAACCACAAGACTAAATACTGCTTCCCGAAGGCTAAATACTGTTTCCAGAAGGTTAAATACTATTTCTAGGAGACTAAATACTGCTTCCAGGAGACTAAAACCACTTGCAGAAGACAAAATGCAGCTTACAGAAGACTAAAACCACAACTAGAAGACTAAAACCACTACCAGGAGACTAATACTGCTTTCAGAAAACTAAATACTGCTTCCAGAAGACTAAATCTGCTGTCAGAAGACTAAATACTGCTATTAGAAGACTAAGTACTGCTATCAAAAGACTAGATACTGCCGGTAGAAGAATATATAGTGATGGTACAAATTTATGATGAAACACTTTATCCTACTACTAATGTATTGGGTTGAGATCTTGGGTTTCCTAGATTCATGTACTAGTAGAACCATTGTGGATTTTCTAAGCTTTCATGTTCTCCAAGGATTACTCTCGTTTTCGTTCGAGTAGGTTCGAATTGTTCAGGAAAGTAAGGAAGGTGGGTAGGGTTAAGTTGATAAACCATGTATAACAAGCATATCGCTGCAAGAGAATAACAAGGGTGTCAAATTTTGATATTTTATTATAACAAGGTTTTAAGGTTCATCAATTGTACATAGAACCTTTAAAATTTTAAATAGCTCACCTAGAAGCTTTAGTATCTTTAGAAAACAAAAGGTGACAAGGTATGTAATATAAATTTTTGTTCAAAATATCTAGAAATCCCGAAAATTGGACCTGCAATATTCGAAAGAAAAATTCGATCGTGGACTTGATGTATATTTCGACAATTATATACAGGCTGTTTCATTCTAAATGATATATGCTTATATCTCTAAAACAAAAACTCGAATCGAAAAAAGTTTCAAGTAAACATTTGAAATAGGGTATAGTATATCAGACGACCCGTGCCATACCTTTATTCAACTCCCTATCTCTCATCGCCTATTGCATAGCTTTACACCATGATCTTCGAAAACACCTTCTTTCTTCCCTTTCAGGTGGTGTCCATTGGTATATTTGCTTGAGCCATTTCTTCTCTTCCATGCGTAGCAGATGACTAAGCCATCTCAACTAATTGTAAGAGACGATTGATCTTGTGTATGACAGTTTTCATTGCTAATGGCAATAGTGTAGTTAATGTTAGACTATAAATTCATACAGAACGTGTGCACATCTATTAAATCTTGTATACAGAATTAATTAAATCTATAAATAATCTTCTAACTTTAAAATACTTGTAATGTAAAAAAATCATGTAATTGTAAAATTAAAACACGTTTATTTTGTACTTCTCTTAGCTTATACAAAATATAAATATAAATGTCTGTTTGTGTGATAGGAAGTGGATCTGTGATTAGATAAAGTACAACTTTGGCTACGCGATTCCATTGAATTTTCTTATCTCTATTTAAAGTGTACATTTTTATGAAAAAGATTCGATAAGTGTTAAGGTAAAGTATCGCATCCGGTTGACGAATTTACCTCAGATTTAAAGTTGATAAAATAACTAATACAAAATTGATGTCTCTTAATTTCACAGCTCATGCTGCCAACAAGTTGACAATCTTTAGAAAGTAAAATTGATGTTTGTTGATTCCAGAGCTCACACTGCCAACTTGTTGGCAGACTGTACATTACAGTATAGATGTCTCGAAATACAAGAACTTATGCTGCCAATAGATTGGCAGCCTCTATCTGGAAAAATTGATACCTTTTTAGACTACTGCTCATGCTGCCAACAAATTAGTAGCTTCTAGAATACAAAATTGGTATTTGTTGCTTCCATAGCTCATGCTGCCAATTACTTGACAAACTGTGGATTCCAGTATAGTTGTCTCAGCACAAGAACTTATACTGCCAACCAGTTGGCAGCCTCTACAAATAAAAAATTGATGTTTGTTACTTTCACAGCTTATCATGTCAATAAGTTGGCAGATTGTAAATTACAGTGATGTCTCGAACTACATGAACTCATGTTAACAAATTGGCAGCCTCTATAGCGTACAATTGATGTCTCTTGAGACTATACCTTATGTTGTCAGCAGTTGTTCTTTTGAATAACTCGTCAACCAGCTGTCAAATCGCCATGTTTGATGGCGCATTGGAAACGTCATTGCAATACAATTTTAACCATGGTTCGCTACACACCTAAAGAACGTGCAGAAATTTTGAAATTTTATTTCCATAAAAGTTCCTCCGTTACGCTTGCTCAACGCGCAACAGAGCAAAATATCGCAGTCGTCGAACGTCCACAGCCAAGACAATTCGAAGTTTAGTGTCGAAATTCAACGCCAGTGGCTCTTTGGCAACATCGAAGCCCAAAGTTAAGACACGTACATTGTCTTCCTATTGTAAAAGTACAAACTGTATGTAAAAAATAGGACGGAATTTTTGCTAGTCAATTTTGGATTGTGATTTTTGATTAAAAAAAACTGTTTTTCAATTCAAATATACAATAAAAATTGCAGCATTCCGTTTAAAATAACGAAGTTGTAAGGTACTATAAGTACGAAGGCTTTCACGGCCGGTGTGAATTAAACTAAGATTAGAACTAAAACTAGAACTAACACTAGAAACTTTCGGGTTTTGCCGTGCGTCTTTTAATAAAACGTTTGACGTTTCGGATGCCATGTTGCAACCTTCTTCAGAATGTGAGGGATGTAAGGCTGAAGAAGATCCAGCAGTCGGCGGTTGCGGAACATTGCCATGCAGAGGGGCACCGAATAGACGTCGAACAAACAAAGGTGCTGGCTAGGGACAACAGATACTACCAAAGACTGACAAGAGAAGCCATAGAGATCCACCGACATAAAAATAACGTCAACAGAGAGGATGGCTGGGAGCTTAGCAGAACATGGAAGATGGTGGTGAACACGAAGACCTCTTCCCACCTCACACCGGACGCGACGCAATTAGTTATTAATTAGTTTGTAATTAGCGTTAACTGATTATTAATTAGTTTTTCCGACTTATATATAGTGACCGATTGTTGATCTCGTCACTTCGAACCAGTTTCTGAAGAAGGTTGCAACATGGCATCCGAAACGTCAAACCTTTTATTAAAAGACGCACGGCAAAACCCGAAAGTTTCTAGTTTTAGTTCTAATCTTAGTTTAATTGTAAGGTACTTCCGGTACATTGGATGTGGCAGCCATCTTGAAATTATTTTAAATCGAAAGATTGGGATGAATAGCTCCTTCACGTAAAATCTCAGAAACGTACGAAACATGAAACTTAAAAATTTCTAACGGTCTAGTTGCGCGGAATTTCATGTACAAGAAAAAGCTGTGCTCTCACATATAGAAGATCATAAGTTTTGGTAATTTCTCCAGTAGTGTTATTTTTAACACACTTCTTTTGGTAATTTGAATTAAAGTATTTTTGTCATGGGTAGTTCATTGGTAAGCTTGATTGAAACATCCTAGTATAATCTTTAATTTGTTTTATAGCCTAGACTTTAAATTTTAACTTTATACGTACTTATTCCCAATGTACAAAACAATTTCAAAATATAAAACCTATTTGAAAGAACATGGAACCAAAATGTACTAATGTTAAGTAATATGTCACGTTTCAGTTATTTATGGCCATCCGGAGTGCGTATAAATCGTTTTTTAGAATCAATTTTCAAAAGAAACAGTCATACATTGTAAAAAAGAATTTACCAAGTGAAAAGATTCTTATTCCCATAGAAAGTAGAAATAGTAAGATAAACACCATTGAATCACACAATCAAACGATTTTCACAATCATTCATCAAAATATACAGAGTGTACGAAATAAAACTGAAGATTTACTTATTTTTGTTGATCATCTGGATATACCAGTACAAGTTTTAGCTCTAACGGAGCACTGGCTAAAACCTAATGAACCTCTTACCATTGAGGGCTATGAAATGGCTTCAAATTTTACTAGAATAAAAAATCAGCATGGAGGATCATACCCAATAAATCTGGCATTGAGTATGTTGAGTTACTATCAATGAAGAACAAGAGCCATTCCAATTGATTTTGGAATGCAGTGCAATAAAAATTGCACCCCTAAATTTAATTATCCTTTGCATTTACCGTGCACCAACGGGTGATACTGAAGATTTCTTTGTAACTTTGGAAGAGATATTACAGGATCTATCAATGAAATTAAAATACAACATTTTTCTTGCTGGTGATTTTAATATCAATTTAGGGATCCAAGACAGAATTTCGTTTAGACTATTGGAAACCCTATCGAGATACGACCTACACCCTTCAATTATGGAAACTACCCGAAAAAATAATCGATCCTGTACTATAATTGACAATATCTTTACAAACCTTGAATCATATGAGAGTAAAACTTTAGTATCTGCGCTATCAGATCATTTCGCGCAAGAGTTATCCTTTTTAATCAATAGTGGGATTGAAAAATTTAAAACAAAAATAAAGAAACGTTTTCTAAATCGAGACATATTAACGCACATACATCATGATATGAATTACAAAAGACATGCAAAATGCTGAAATCTGTTTTAATAATTTTTTGAGCATTATTCGAAATAGTTTGGATAGACAGAACAAATTTAAAATTGTTGATATTTCATCTCCAAATAGAAATAAGCAACAAGTGAAAACATGGTTAACAGAAGAAATCAAAAATAAAACAGCGATTAAAAGGCAGTTATATGAAGGAGTGTTAAATGGGGCTGTTACTCCTGAAGCATATAAAAATTTCTGTCAGTACCTAAAGACAGAAATTGAAAGATCAAAAAAGGCTTCGTATACTAACTATATTGAAAATGCGTCAAATAAAGCTAAAGCTACGTGGACAACCATAAATGCACTCAGGGGATGCAAAAAATCAAATAATTATCTTGATCTAAACGTATTTCGGCCAGTGTATGAAAATGATATAGATATACTTAACGCTGCTAATACACATTTTATAAATAATGTACAAACTTCTAATACGGTTCCCATAAGAATAAGAAACTTAAAAATATCTAAAACTTTCGCATTTTATTTAAGTGATGCAATAGAAGTTCAAAAAACAATACAATCTTTAAATGATACAAAAGCGGTAGGCTTTGATGAGATTCCGGTGGCCTTATTGAAGTTCTCTTCTGATGCTCTCTCTGAACCATTGAGTAATGTTATCAATTTGTCCTTTTCTATGGGCGTTTTTCCAGCAAGCCTTAAAAAAACAGTAATTAAACCATTGTATAAGAAAGGAGATCGATCGGTTTTTTCAAACTATCGTCCTATTGCTTTGATATCAAATATTGCAAAAATATTTGAAAAAATTGCATTGAGAAGAATAATGGATTTTGTAATTAAAAACAAAGTACTAAATGATACCCAAAATTGGTATATAAAAGGACGATCAACGCCACGTGCAATTTTTCAGATACTTGATAAAATTACATCAGCTATCAATGAAAATGATATCACTGGTTGTATTTTTATGGACCTAACAAAAGCATTCGACTGTGTGAATCATGAAATCCTTCTGAATAAAATGGAAAAAATGGGTTTCCGCGGCGTTGTCCTTGATTGGTTAAAATCCTATTTACACGGCAGAAGCCAGTGTGTTATGTCATACAGCGATTCGGGAGGAGAAGTTAGGTTTGAGTGGAAAGAAGTATTTCAGGGAGTACCTCAGGGGTCAGTCTTGAGACCTTTCTTGTTCCTTCTGTACATTAATGATTTGCCTGATGTACTTGATAGTTTACTGGTATTATTTGCGGATGATTCAACTTCTGTTGTATCTGGAAAAAGTGAAGAAGCGGTCTTAGGAATGGCCAGAGAGAATTTAACAAAACTAAACGAATGGTTGTTAGGAAATAATCTACAGCTCAATATAGCAAAATCAATTTTTATGATTTTTGCAAATAAAACACCTGAGATGGAAATAATGTTTGGAGGACAATTACTCACCTATAAACGGGAGGTGACGTTCCTCGGTTTAAAGATAGACTGCCGCCTTTCCTGGAGTCAACACATTGATGGGTTGACAACTAGTTTATCCAGAACACGTTTTGCGCTTCGAACAGTGTCACGATGTGTAGGTGAGAGAGTCGCTTTAAGTGTTTATTATGCGTGTGTTGAATCGCGTTTGAGATATGGAGTTATTTTCTGGGGAAATGCAGTAATTTCGGAACGTGTTTTCATCCTTCAGAAGAAGTGTGTACGAGCGGTTTTCGGTCTGGGTCCGCGTGACTCATGTAGAGCTCTTTTCGCAGAACAAAATATTCTCACGTTCCCATGTTTGTTTATTCTAGAATGTGCTTTTATTGTTATAATATAACTAATTACCATGAATTTTTCTCAAAATATGAATTATCTCATCAACATCAAACGAGAGGCGCTGAACGATTATTTTTACTACCACCCAAGACTAATTATTCTAAAATACAGAAAAGTGTTTTATATTTTTGTATAAAACTGCACAATTAGTTACCGTTTGATTGGAAAGCGCTACCATCACATGTATTTAAAAAAAGATTGAAAGAATTCTTAATCGCGAAAGCTTTTTACAGGGTAGATGATTTTTTTCTCGAAAATATTTCAACCCACTAAGAAATATGTTTATTAACATCTTTTATTTTGTACTAGATTTTTTGTATTTGAATTTGTAAATTTATTGGTATTATAATTGATTAATTAATGTTATTTACTTAATTGTAAAGATTTTTTGTTTTTTTGACTGTTTTCTATGCATGTAAGCATTATAGAAATAAAGGGATTTATTTATTTATATTATAACATTGAAAGTCCTATTTATTAACTATAATTTTCTGTGAAAGAGTTGGTTATTAGTTATTATAAAACACAGAATATAACATTATTTGTTTTAGCAACAAATTTGAGCGGTTGTGTTATTTGGATAATATTTATGTTTATATTAATATGATCCGGGTTAGCGCGTACGCAGACCCGACTACCAAAAATTACGCGCCCGAGTTACCCGCATTAGGGGTAATCGCAGGGGTCAGCCCGACCGAAGTGCAATGGAAGGGCCTCGTCCTGGGGGAACCGCCTTATTGATCACGGTAACCCCTACGCCAGGTAAGTATGCTTTTCCTAGTCATCAAGTTGCCTTTCATACAGGATACCAAAACAATTGCTAACAAGTTTACCAAAGTGCCATCTATCGTTAGCTAACAGAATGTATATTATAGAACAGACCACCAGATATCTATAACATCCTTTGACAGAATTCCTCAACTTACACCTATATAGTTTCGACCTTGATGTAGAGAGGGCGTTAGGTGTTCGGTTCAGACTCAGGCGCTGGTACCGTCGCGGCGCGGCGTGGCGTTCGGATTTTCAAAGTGGGACTGGCACCATTCCAACGCCAATACAGTAAAACCTCGATATAACGGACTAATACGGGGGAGGGGTTGTCCGTTATAGCCAAAAGTCCGTTAAAGGCAAATATGAAACTTTAATACTTACCACAATTGCGGGTTATTCCAAGACCAGGAAGAGGTATATAATGTCAATCGTTTGCTATCAAATATAAAATGAATGAACATATTTTTCATATTTGTCTTATATATTTTTTTTTATTTATATACATATTAGTTAAACTAAAAACTTTACTTCTGATATGTGTATACTCTGGTTATAAAATGATATTATGTACTGGATGTCGAAGCACTTGTGATTGGCAATGCTTTTTTAAAAAAACAATCAAGTTCTGTTTTGTTTTCACTTTTGAAGTTTGTTGTTCTTTTATGATTAACTCCCTAAAATTACGGAAATGTATATAATATAATTGCATTTTTTTACTTGATGAATCATCTATAAATGTTATTAAATCGTCGAGATGCGATCTAATCGTTGACAATTTTATCTTTGGGAATCTTTCATTTTGCTCGCTATCCTCGCTTTCAAGCTCGTTATCCACCATCATCACTTCATCAGCTATTTCATGTTCCGTCATAATATGATCACCTTCATCCATTTCTAGCCATTGTAATATATCTTCTTCGGCTATCTTCATGTTGGTCGTCAAATAGATTCGTCCACCCATTTTCTAATGTTTGGGCTTTTCTAACATTTTCTAACTTCCTTCCATGCAGCCGTGAAATTAAAAATTGTGGATTTTAAATTATACATTTTTTAATTTTCCAACGTGCGTTGTTCTCTTGTGTCTTTTTCGCTTTCTTCGTCCTCTAACACAGCCATTACTTCGTCTACATATATGTTCGTCTTTATGGCTAAAATTATTCCCTGGTCCATGAGCTGAATTATTGATGTTGTATTTTTGGGCAAAAACATACAATTAAATTTGCCATCGTCGGATCGTAAAATATTTTCAGATGAGCCGTTCCTGTTGTGAAATTCCGCCCGTTTTGCCCGATCGTTACCGGCGAGACGATAGCAACAAACCGCTCAGCAACAAACTTTTTCCTTTATATTTCCACCTATTTTTCGGACGGATATCTTTGTTATTTATAATGCTAGCGGAAAACTAAGCACACGGTTGGAAAGCTTGGTCTTTTCTCTATCTTAAACCGAGTCCTACGATATGTTGATAATGAGAACAAGAAAAAATAAGAAACGACACACTCAATTTAAATCACCTCAAAATTGCCCAACTTTAAGGCCTTGTGTAGCCATTATCAGACGGAAATGAAACAAACGATTTACACATTCAAAAAGAGCTAACCTTGGCCTATCTTATTCCGAAGGCCTATCTTAAGAAACGCTCCTGAAAGACAACCTACAGGTAGCAATACGCAATCACTTCTTACCCTAACTTTCTTATTTGATGAAGGAAAAATGGGGACAATACGTATACCATCAGAAAGTCTCTGCTCTTTCCAATGGTGTATGGCAGATTTCAATAACGCATTTGTATAAACGTTTTTTTGGCCAAAATATACCTAAACAACGACTTTCGCGACATGCAAGTAACTTCCTTATAACTATCGGTAATATAACTAAATATATATTGTAATAATGCTAGCCGAGAGATTAAGTTTTACCCGAGAGAGAATCCTAACCTTCATGTTGACAGATAATCTTTCATTCACTCTTAATTTTGAGTGATTTTGAGCGATTTTAGACTCGAATTGTTGAATTGTGTTTTGATGGCTTTGAATCTGGTAACGTTACCACCCTTTACATTTTAACTCAGTTTATCAATTTTTTTTAAGATGGCTTTCCATTAGTGCATGAAGCTATTCTTTTGATCAAAAAACTTTTTGTACTTTTCTTTAATTTTATTATGCATTATATCAAAAAAAATTTTCTGCAACACGTGCCTTAAAAGACCCAGTAATAGGTTGTAAGGTTAACGATCAGCATTACTTAACAGAAAATTTGAGCCAATAACATTATATTTGCTGTTGTTTTAAACAATTTTTATATATCTCTCTATAATAACTATGTACACAGTTCGCAATGATAAAATTGAGCTGTCAAATACTTGTTAGGGCTATATATTTTGTGGACGTGTTGGCGACACTTAATACAGATAATATCTGCCACTTTTTCAACACAATAGAAGCACTGATCTACACACTGAACTATGAAATGTCTTTTCATAGTTTTTTAATGTCAAATTTCTTATTTGCTTTCTATATTCAGCAGGATTTATGGTATTAAAACTTTTTCCTTCTAACGAACATTCCGCATAATAATATAACAATACACCACAATTAAAACCATCTTACTGTTTGGGATACTTTACAATCTCTTTTAATTTATTTGTAACAAATGGGTGTGGACGAGATATAGGTCTTAAGAGACTCTGAAATTGCGATAAATATTGTAAAGAACTTTGTTTGTTACTAGCTATATTCGCAACGACTAAACACCAATAGGTATTATTCACGTTAATTGGAAAAATTAAACATGATGTAGTTGGAGTAGGTCGATATGATGGTGTTAATCGTATACTTTGAACGGGTTGACAGGGAAATATTTTTATGCTATTATTGTTTCGTGATTGCACAAGTATTTTCAGGTAATAATCAATGACGAAATTATCTAAGTACATATTTAGGTACATTATCTAGGTACATTTTCCATAAGACCAACATAGTCTTAAGAGTTTTCTCCCCGTTAAAATAAAAATGTTGTTGCCCAACATGGTTTAGTCGTGGCGAAAATTCGTGGTTTTAGCTAAATTTTGGCAAAGAAACCGCTTGTGCAAACGCGTGATTGAAGTGTGCCATACACCGTTAGAAAGAGCAGAAAATTTCCTATAAGATGAATATAGTTCTAGAGTTTTCTCTCCGTTAAATAATAAAGTTAATATCGTCTCGCCGGTTACATCAAGTGCTATTTATGACAAACTTTAGGATTTTTTTATGTTACAAATACAGCAATTTTACAACCTACCTTCACATATAAAAATGGCCATTTAAACGCCCCCTTAATGATCAATTAACTAATTTTATTGCTGATTCAATGATTAACTTTTGAACTGTTCATTAAATACTCTGTTTTATGTTGCTTTATGTAAAATGCAAAAAATTCCTATTCATTAAAGAAAATTAAAGAATAAGAAATACGAAATTTAGTTCAAAATTAACAAAGGGTTTTTATTACTTTTGACGCACATTGTATAATTTGACATTAAGAATAATGACAAACTTCTCCAAAAACATTAGTCTCACTTAAATGGTCTGTCAACTATCCTTGTATTTTCGTTGTTTTCATCCTGTTAATAATTATTTGAATTATATTTATTAAATTATTAGTTTTATAGCATTAGGGGTAATTGCGAGGGTTAGCCCGACCGAAGTGCAATGAGATTGTCTCGTTCTGAGGGAACCGCCTTATTGGTCAAGGTAACCCTTAGGCCAGGTAAGGACTATGCTCTTCGTTCTCATCGAATTGCCTACATCATACAAAAACAACTGCTAACAAGTGTGTTAAAGTTCAAAAGTTAATAACTTGAGTACCTTAAATTAATCATATCATTGATTCAGCAAAAAATCAGTTCATCATTAATATGATGAATTGTTTAGTATTCTATAATATCGGTAAT